ATAATATATATTCTAGATTATGATTTATCCATTTCCTTTCATTTCTGTCAAAATAAAAGGCTTTGTACAAAGACCATGGAGTATGTTATTGGCACATACATAAAGATAAAACTATTGCATATTCCATAAGCACATCCCTGGTGTCATTTGCTTTAAGTCTGAGAAGCTCAGCTCTGTGCCACTGGGATGGAGAGGGCAAATGTGCAAGGGGCAAGGATGAAGGGTTCCACACATGATCAAATGTGTAAGTACCCAAGAAAGGCTCAGATAATTATTGCAGTTAGTGAGCCTTTACTTTAAATTTTAGCCTAATTTAATTGATTTTAGAGTCCATTTTTTCAGTGTAGTAAATAATATAACCTCATTGGAAGACACTTCAAATTTGAAGTTGTTTCATAATGTATTACCCCATTCTTTCTCCTTGTTTTTACTTATTAGCATTGCTTATATTCACAACTTTCCATGATGCAGATTTGCCTAAATTCCCACCAAACTAAAAGGAATTTCTAAATAAAGCAGTCATTATTGTTTTTATATCCACAGTTCTGCCAGGCAGTGCTAGAGTTAATAGTAGCCAAATCTACTTCATGGAGCCAAAATCTGCTTTGATGTGCCTCTACTAACATTGTGACCTTAGACAAATTACTTCATCTTTCTGAAACTCAGCTTTTCATCTACAGAATGGACATAATTATCTGACCCCAAAGTTATAATGACTAAATCCAGTAACATGTATAAATATTTGAAATGGTTAGCATAGTGAAAGCTAGCTTTCTTGTCTTGCTTCCCTTTCTTTAACTCCTAGATCCCATGGTGTTCCCTTTTAAATTATTAATGATTATCATAATTGCAACTATAGAAAGATATGAAGTGAATTTTCTATACCATTCTATATAGATTTTTAAAGTTGTGGCAAGAACATCGAACATGAGCTCTACCCTTATGATGAGTGTTTTCAGTGTCCAGTACATTATTTTTTACTTTAGGAATAATGTTGTACAGCAGACCTCAAGAGTTTATTCATTGTGCTTAACTGAAACATTATGCCTGATGAGTAATTGAACGTTTCCTTCCTTCTAGCCATTGGCAACTAGATTTCTTTGAGTCTATGAGTTTGACTACAGTATTTTAGACATCTTATGTAAGTATTTCCTTATATAAGATAACCTTATTTTTTTCTGTGACTGGCCTCATTAGCCTAATGATGTCAGAAAGATTCATCTACATTAATAGCACATTGTAGAATTTTCTTTTTTTAAACTATGCAGAAGATCAATATTCAGAATTGGTACCTTTGAGAGAGCATATGGAAGGTGAGAAGAACTTGATCTAATACAACAAACTTTTATGACTACCTGTCCTTGTACAATTAACCACTATTATGTAAGGTAAATAGGTGACTTTTAATTCTGCAAAAATAAGAAGAAGCATCACTTTTGTAAAAAGAATAGGAAGTAATAAGTGTAAAATGAAATCAGTTGGATTGATTTGGGTTTACCAAGAGAAAAGTCAATTCATTTTGGTAACTCAATGCCCATAGCTCATCTTCTAAAATCTTAGTGTTTAGTCTGGAGGGCAACTAAATCAATCAATAAATTGTCCCATTGTCAAAAGGAGAAAAGAAATTTCTCTAAATATTAGGAATAAAACCTACATCAAACATACAAGTCATTCTACTTTCATTCATTAACATGAGAAAAGTCAAAGATCTCTGATTATATCAATTTTTGCAGCTTTTCTTTTCTTTTCTTTTCTTTTTTTTTTGGGTGGAATCAGGGATTGAACTCAGGCCCTTGCACTTGCCAGGCAAGCATTTATTCTGCTGAGCCATCTCCCC